AGGTTCTGTCCACGGGACACCCCAAAAGGAGTAACCGAGCGTGAACAGCATTCGAAGAGTAGCTTCGGTCACTAAAAAGGCAATTCACCAGCGAGCGAAAAACTCTGGAACGGAATGAAACCGCAGACGAGATGAGACACCAGTAATGCATGAGGCAGACAGGTACAGCGAGACAACTATGGGTCAGTGATGGAGACTCAGCTGAAAACAAACACAAGCAGCAAGGCCTGGGGAAGCAGAGAGTCCCTTACTTGAGGGGAGCTGCCAGGAGAGAAGCCTTGATTGGAGACAGGAGAGGTGGGAGACTGGTTGGCTGGGGAGCCAGCATTACTGCGGTACTGCTGGAGTGAAGCCTACAGAACAACACAGAATTAAAGACCATGGGATTGATGGAAGGTTGGAAAATTGTACACTTCTGGCGTATACTGCTCGAGGAAGCCGGGAGAAACCATCCTCTTCAGCGATTCTCTGCCACGTAGGAAGACGCGGTTACTGTGAATGATGCCGCAAAAAGGAGAGTTAAGAGAGCAGCGCGGCGCGGTCTGGCCCGAGGGCCGAGCCAGGGCAGTGCTGCTGGACAAGCAACACCGTGGAAATACCGTTTCGCTCTTCTCCGTTACGCTCAATTTTAAAAACATCCGGTCAGGCAACAGTTTAGGGAAAAGAAGTCGTGAGAGCTGGGGATAACCTGAAAATAACGTCACGTATCCTTCGACCCAACGGCCGTACCCACACATTAACCTGTGCACACCACCCTGGAAATCCCTCTCGGCCTGAAACAGGCCGGGCATGTCAGCAGGATCGAGGCGTCAAGTGGGCCGACTGAAACCCGGCCCGACGCCGCAGTGTACCCCCAGGCACGGCACAGACGTCGCCTGCGGGCTCGCCCGACGCCTCGCACGCCTCAGTAACGCTGCCCTTGCCCTCGGTCAGCCCGAGAAGACACTGTCCGAGACATACCTTCTTCTGGTCACAGAGAACCCGGGATTTGAACAAATTAATAATCTCAGCGGCGTTTAAATAGACTGTTGCCCTAATTAACGTTAATAGGAAGTAGAGCTCTTCCCATTATACTTCCTGTAGGAGTTAGGGATGGTTGAGGACAACCACCCGCCATCCCGTAGCGCTGCGGCACGGCCAAAGCTCACGGGAGCTTGGCAGGGTGGGAGAACGCTGCGCCACCACCGCTCCCTGGCACCGGGTTCTGCGCCCCTCGAGACAGTCACTTAACCCTTTCCGCTACGCACTGCTCCGGAGGCGCTTCAAGCGGGCAGCCAAGCCACAGCAGGACCCCTTCAACACCTGCGTCGAAGCTGGGGGGGTGCTGTACCTCAACCGGCTTTTTGATAAAACAGCTTTAAGATTGTTTACGTAGGATCTCAGTTCCTTGAAAAGGGAGCACAGCACCCCGAAAGTTAAGGTCGTGGAAGTTCAGGATGAGGAGAGCAACACCAAAAGCAAAGGATGAAACTCAGAATCAGCTGGACTGGTAGCTGTGTATTAGAGTCAAAACACTGGGACACATTCCGAGTGGGATGTATCCTCTCCACTGCGGGAGTTGTCCTTCCTCTTCCCTCCCCCAATCCCAAAAGGGAAGAGCTTCTTGCGACAAACTCTTATCAGCACAAACTGTTAAAAATCTCCCCCACAAATGAAATCCACCATCAAGCGCTGGATCGGCAGGGAACGACTCCTGCTCCTTCTCCAAGCACTCCCTGTCACTACACCGCTGCCCGCAGGACACAATGGGAGGGAGCACCAGGACCCTACGCAGCAGGAGCTGCCAGCTGCTTCCCTGGTCGCCTGGAACCCCGGGCCTGCTCCGCACTTTGGATTTTCATACGCAGAGGCAGAAGGTGTCACAACAGACCGCGGTGAAACACGGCGCTGTTCATACACCACCGCTGTGCGTGTGCCATCGCTCCGTCACTCCTGGGCATCTGGAAGCAGCCACAAATCCCTTTGTGAAGATGATACGTATATCCTTAAAATGAAGGGGCTCTAAACATGGGAATGATAAAGTACCTCCGGAAAATGCTTGTTAGCAGGTTTCTCTATCACCCGAGAATCCCTCCAGCCCGTCGCACACTTTGCACCACGCGCTGCGCTGGGGGTGCAGTGCCCCCAGCAGCCCGAAAACGTGTCAGGTATGAAACAAACGCTGACACCAGGGCAGGGGGTGACAGGACAAGAGATAACGGTTTTGAACGGAAAGAGGGAGATGGAGATGGGACATCAGGAAGGAATTCTTCCCGCAGAGGGTGGGGAGCACTGGGACAGGTTGCCCAGAGAAGCTGTGGATGCCCCATCCCTGGGAGTGTCCAAGGCCAGGCTGGATGAGGCTTGGAGCAACCTGGGCTATGGAAGGTGTCCCTGCCCATGGCAGGGGGGTTGGAACTGGATGATCTTCAAGTTCCTTTCAACCCAAACCATTCCGTGATGATATACTGAAGCTGCTCTAATCACGGATTCCTACGGGCCACCGTCTTACAAAACTACAACCACCCTGAGCGCAGGTTTAAACCACACTCTCCCCTACGGAGCATTTCAACATGGATTCAATCAAAACCATCCCAGGTCTACTCCCGGCTCTGCCTAAGGGTGTGTTTATCGCCAGGGCTGTCCAGCCCGAACCCTGGCTCTAGGCCGGGCGCTACCGTGCCAGCTCTGTCGCCGCGCCCGCGCTTACCGAGTTGATGTCTATGCCCATCGACGGTTGGGTCTGGCTGCCGGGAGGCGACTGTGGGATGGTAGAAGGTACCGTGACGGAGAGCGGGGGGAGCTGTGTTCCTCGCTGTAAACCGGAGGTCTGCATTAACGGAGTATTCTGAGGCAGGGTACTTGCCACCTGGGTTTGCTGCTGTTGCTGGGAAGTTGTCTGGGTAAAAAACGGATACGGGGGAAGCTGCTGCTCCAGAGACAATGCATCCATAGCCACGGCCTTGAAAAGAAGAATCAGAATCATCCATGCTGGCAGGTTAATCCCCCTTCGTTTTCGAGCACATCACCTTTCACACCAAGAGAACTGTACTACGTCAATCCCATCTTGCATTTTAAAAAAAAGTCACCTATAGGTTCAGAAACGGTCAAGAACACATTTCAAAAGACCTAGTATCAGCTCCAGTGTAGAAGAAACAGATACTCTAAACGCCCAGTCGAATGTCCAGGTGAGAAATCGCAGAGTCACACAAAATCAATTAAAAAAGCGAATTATTGAGCTTCTCTCATGAACTGGAGAGCTGTCCTTCAAATTTCACAACTGGCTCTGGGACAATACCATTAAAGAAAAGTGTCCCAACAGATGGGTTTTCCCATGGTTCTAGAAAAGCAAAATCTGTCCCCTCCACAAACCTCTCCCTTTTTTAAGGCTCTGAGTTAACGAACACATTGAAAGCAGAAGATTACAGGACAGGAGAGAGGAGTTGCAGAACAATTCACCCGTGATTAAAAACAATTCTCCAAGGAATTTCCTACCTGAGTAATCGGTGACAAAGGGGAAAGCGTAGGAGACATTTGCTGTGACTGTGGTCGCCTTGAGTCCGCACTCAAGGAGAGAGGACTGACGGCTGGTTGGCGGTGCTGCTGGGAAGGGGCTGGCGTCGTCGTCATTCCTGCCAGGAAGGAACAAACCAGCTTACATGGGAAGAGGGCGATGGTTTATTGATACCTGCACGGAGGTAATTACCTAAACGATGAAAAATGAACGGCGTAAGTGGACAGCCACTTCACACAAAGTGCTGAATGTGCCTCGGCCAATCAGGCTGAAACTCATTAGCTGATTGGCAATTAATTTTGTCAGGCTGAAGAGCATGGGGATGAGAGGAAGATGCCTGTGGTTTATCCTGGGCCAAAAGCAGCCCCGGTTGCTGAGGTTTGGGCATGGATATTGAAATTGAAACAGGCAGAGTGGCTCTGGCAGCTGTCAGAAGCCGTGGGTACTGCTCTCGCACGCGCCGAACCCAGGAAAAGCACGTTCTGCTCTGCCTGTGCGGGCTCAAACTTCAGGAAGCAGATAACAGGTCACAGAACAAGGCTAATCAGAGGGCACTGGAGATACTATAAAAGCAAACACCTCTTTAATGGCAAATGCAGAAGAAGAACTGGTTACACAGGAAGTGCTCCATTTTTAACAATACCAGTGTGCAGGAAGGCCGGAAACATCCCTCACACTCCGAAGAGCCATGGCCTAGCAGGGGGTAGGGATAAAGAATTCAAGCACTGTCATTTTCTTCAAATTCAAGGCACAAAATGCAGAAGTTTTGAGACCTTCCCTATGTTCTGCCTCACCCCAGAGGAACCGAGACACCCTGGAAAGTGATTTCAGGACAATCTAGCTAGTGAGCTGTTCCTCCAGAGCTGCCAGAAAGGAGGAATTCACAAGAGCCTGCGAGCTCCTAGGCACTTGGCAAACGCTCAAGGCTTCCAGGCAGGCTGCCAGGGAGCCAGGAAGTCGGGGCTGCCAAGGAGCCAGCAGGCAAACTGGCTCAAACGGCGCAGATTCCGAAGGCTGCCAGGCTTCCCCTGCCATGTTTTCAAAACCAACGCCGTCTCACAGAACGTGTCAGCGAGCTGACAAACTCCCGAGGCACAAACTCCCGAGGGACAAACGTCTTAAATTGCCGGTAGTTCTTCCTCAGCCGAGAAGGTGTGTGTTTCCCCACCTCTTCTTGGGCAGGAGGGTATGCGAAAGGGGCAAGAGCATTTAGGTTTTCTGCCAAAGAGCCAGAAGGTGGACAGGCAGGGAAGGTTTGGAAAAGGCAGTTAAAAACCAGCAGCAACCACCAACTATGCCAATGGTGAAACCGGGGGCTAGTCTCCAAGGAGAAGCAGGAAAATCATCAGTATCTTTTTAATTTGTTATGTCTTTGCTAGACCAGAACATGTTTTCAAACCAATTATATACTTACTGCTTCGGTTCGATACCGTTTACTTTGCTAATTATGGCTACGGCAAAAAATCCAGCCACCCCCTCTGGCCTAAACCCCGGGAAGTAGTTTGTTTCCTTTAATACACACAAGAGCTGCCTTCGCACAGCCTGGCCGAGTTACACTTGAGTGACAGCCCATCACTCCAACTTTGTTTAGTCTCTTCTGAGACCAGAAATCTTGTTAAAGGCTGCTGAAAGCTGCTGACCTACTCTGTACTCACACAGTTAAACCGCCGCCCTGCTTCATTCTTAAATACAACTGCTCGCACACAACACTCCGTTAACCTGATTAGAATGATTCCCTTCTCCCAGTGTAGGAGAGGATTTTTTTAGTGGGTAAGGGAATCCTGCCTAATGCAGGAAACACACTTGTATTTCTGGACACAGCGCCGTATTTCTATTCTAGGAGTCACCTGACTGCAGCTGTCAGTGAAAACAAAACAAACCCGCTCCTCTTCACGACTACGAGTGTGACCCAGCGAAAGCATTTAAAGCCAACAATCACTGGTTTAGGCTATTTGCCTATACGGCTGTATTTAACCCTGAAATTATCAGGCGATCAGTACGGTATAAAGCGCCAGCAAGGCAAATAATGTTTGTGGGGGGGTGGTTTTCTCCATCAGGATTGCCAGAATCCAACAATCCCAACAAGCGCAGCCCTGACCCACCAGGCTGGACAGCTCAACCAGCAACAGCCCTCGTGAAGACCCGGCAGCAACCAAAGCGACGCTGCTAGGAAGGCAACAACTTCAACCCGAAGGCTCACGGTGAGGGCTGGGAGGAACGGAGGGGTGCGCGTGGCATTATTTCCCAAGGCCCGGCGGTATCACATCGCCTGAATATTCAGGATAGTTTCAAAGCTTAAGCAGGCAAGCTTACAAAAACTACCACACCTTGTAAAGGCTCCACGTTATTCTTGACGGCTATCAGAGAAAATTTGTTTCAGGTGAAGCAAGCAACGTTCTCTCTCCAAAAGAATCCTCACACTGAAAAAAAACCCTTTGAAAGGAATGAAAACAAAAGGCCTCCTTAAGGTATTTCCGTAAGACAAGTGCTGTTGCGGTTAAGCACAATAAACTACCAGGGAGGCAGCTTGGGATGCTACTGTCTCCTGTAGTCTTATTCATAAAATAAACAAAAACCTCCCAAAAAAGCAGATTTGGGCACCAAGAACATGAGGAAAATAAAAAGACAACTTCTAAGTGACAGAACGAAAGACATCTTTCTGGCTGTTGTACAGAAATGGCTTGGTAGAGCTTGTTTATGGAGAAATGTCAGTCAACGGTGATGTGCAATTCCCTCTCAGACAAAACGTCCACGATTTAAGACAAGTGACACATTCTGGACAACCTTGGAAAGCGCCCCGGCGTGACGATCTTACCCTGACTGGCAGTGCTGATGCCCAAGTGAGTCAGATTGGCAGCGAGATTTCCGGTGCTATTGGAGCTACTCAGGGCTGGGAATGTGGATTCCTCGGGATCTAGCGGCGTTGGGAGAGGGGAAGGGAAATGGATGTTGGTCAGGTCTGGCAGGGAGCCACCTGTGTTATGCGTAGCAGGAATCAGTGTTGTAGTGTTTTCCTGGTCAGCTGATGGAAAGATGCTAAATAAGGAAGAGAAAAGAAAAAAAAAAAAAAAAAAAAAAGACATCTCCATTTAAATTCCAGCCTGGACAGACCTTTATAAAAGCTTTTTTAAAAAGGAAGGTGGCACGAAGATGCTCCGAGGGCTGGACCCCTCTGCCATGGGGACAGGCTGGGAGAGTCGGGGTGTTCAGCCTGGAGGAGGCTCTGGGGAGACCTTATAGCACCTTCCAGTACCTGAAGGGGCTACAAGGAAGCTGGGGGGGGGCTTTTTACAAGGGCCTGTAGTGGCAGGACATGGGGTGATGGGCTTAAATTGAAAGTGGGGAGGTTTAGATTGGATATCAGGAAGGAATTCTTCCTGCAGAGGGTGGGGAGGTACTGGGACAGGTTGCCCAGAGAAGCTGTGGATGCCCCATCCCTGGGAGTGTCCAAGGCCAGGCTGGATGAGGCTTGGAGCAACCTGGGCTATGGA